GGTCTGATTACAGTTTCCACATACAAATGGGCATTCATCACCTCAGGAATATGAACGAGCTCTGTTCGCCTATTGTACATGATGCCACCCCAGAACATCTCAATTCCTCCTTGATAAGGAGCAACAGCAAGGGCTGTATTCAAGCGATGCAGCCTCCCTCCACACTCGCTGACGACAGTCATCACTGATCAAACCTATCCTAATTTCGTCAATGAAAATTGCGTTTCTCCACTGAGGTAATAACCAGTTCTGGTGTTCTCTAGCCCACTGTAGCCTCCTTTGCCTATGGTGTAAAGTTAATAGAGGGACTCGCAGTGGACGTCTACGCCGCAATGCAGCATTAGAATGTTTCGCCTGGAAATGGTTCGGCTTGATATCACTCGGTGGTAAGTTCGTTGAAACTGAGATCGTAGCTCTCGAATTGAAACTGACCGATTTCTTCTGGCAAATTGAGCCAAGTAGCGATCCTGTCGTTCAGTCGTTACCCTTGTACGGCCCAACTTAGGGCGAGATCTTACATTTCCGGTGTCCATATACCGTTGTATAATTCGGCTTACAGTACTTCGCACTAAATTAAAACGAAATTTAAACGATCAGCAATTGGATGCCTGCTGAGACCTTCTTCATGCAAAGCGATAATTCGGGCCCTATCGAAGGCAGAAATTTCGTGCCCTGGCATTTTTGTCGCCTTTCACAACACTTACTACAAGATTGAACTCGAACTGAGAAACAAAATTTGACCGTAAATAGCAAAACCATACACATTCCATCGATACGGTTTTCTTTCATTGTTTTTATGACCTATTTTTTGTAGACACTTATTAAGGTATTTGTACACATAGCCACAACAATATGCTATGCTATGTAAAGAAATAAATTTATCTGGGGGTGCAAGACTTTTGCCGGTGAGTTGGGACAACTAATTCGCAGCTCGGGATCTCTACTACCAGAAATCAACAGAAGAATTAAGTTAGCATGAAGTACTTATGGAAAGAAACTCAATCATAATCAAATCTAGAATGGCACTCTATCTAAAGAAGAAAACATTCGACCAATGTGTACTACCAGTCATGACCTACACATGCGACACCTGGACACTTAAAAGGGACATCATAAGGAAACTGCAGGTCGCAAAACGCTCAATAGAATGAAATATGTCGGGAATAACCAATAACCAAAAAAGACCGTAAAAAATTAGAGTGGATACGACAAAAGACTCAGGTAATAGATGTCATCCACAGATTCAAATCCCCCAAATATCAATGGGCAGGAAACCTGGCAAGAAGAACGGAGAACGGATGGACCGCAAAAATTACACCATGGTACTCACGAGGAATTAAAAGACCTAAACGAGAGGACCGAACCTGAGATGGGACCATGATATTCGGAAATCAACAAGGGTACAACTACAAAAAGAGTATCTAAATATGTTAGGGAGGCTACACCATAATTGGAAATGCTTGAATGAGCTGAAAATAATGATGATGATGATACAATTAAAAAAATTCTAGCATGAACTTAATATCTATTTATATAAGACATAGCTTCAAGATTAAAAGTTTACTAAAATTATTTCAGAAGAAAATGCTCGACTTCCATGCACGAACCGTATGGAATTAGCATTTAATTTTCCCTTATTACTAACAAGCAAAAACGGAATAAAACAGGAGAAATCCGGTAATGTTTAAGCTAGAAATTTCGCATTTTTGCGAACGTTGTTGCGCAGCGAGGCTTAATTCGACCATAATTAACTCATTAACGAAGCAGACTTTCGCATTAATTAATATTTTCAGTTCGTTCGAGAGCGTCTTTCATTTAATTCAACTCATTTCCGTTTTGTTTAATTCTCCCTAATAATGTCATTCACATATGAACTGCGTGTGACATAAGATTTATTTTATAAAGTTGTGTGCTCTATGAAAAAAAAATTAAAAAGAACATTTTCAAATAAAATTTTTCGAAATTCGGCAAAGAAAAACATTTTTTAGTTGTTTATTACTAGTCAAATTTGACAAATATCCGAGAGCCCGATGCGAAATTTTCTGATGTCATTTTTATAAATCAAAGCATAAAAAAACTACTCTGGCCGAACCTAATTTCACAATAAATAAAAAGTCAATAGTGAGAGTCAAATAAATAAAAAATAGCCTTATAAAACGCCCTTCGCTTTTTCGTTTTTTAATGACTCAATATAGTCAATAAATAAAAAAAAATCCATATTATGCAGACCATATTATCTATCAACCAGCCACTAAAGTCTACTGCTGGATGTAGTCCTCCATCGTTTGTTTCCATAATTCCCTATCTTGAATTATTTGCAACCAGTTACTGTGGACAATATACGCGATATCGATTTAAGCCATGTTTTAGTAGTACAGTAAAACCTCTGTTGTCTGGCTTGAAAAAATCAATATAGACTAAACAAAACAAAATTTAAATCTCTACACAGGAAGTATCAGGTTTTATAAATTACCATCCAATTTAAATATAGAGATATTCTAATATCAGTAAACACCTGATAACTAATATGCATAGGTACTATCCATTGACGTAGCTATTTTGTAGCAGTACCATTTTGGATAGTAGAAGGATTAATAGAAGAAACTTGCGATAGACCTGTAAGCGTATCAAATGATACAAATGGATTTGGGTGATGTTTTATGTCTGTGGATAGAAATGTTTACACAGATGCTGATTTGAGATACAAGATGACCTGCAAACTGAACTGACATACATATATGTATTTTAGATGACAGGTACGATATAGGAAGCCTCATGGTACGACTTCGGCAAGCGATTTCCTGAATCGTACCATTTCCAAAGCTTTTGAAAAATTATATTTCTGTAAAAATGATGGTATTAAAAATCTATAACACTAATAAAAAAATATAAATCTATACCAATATATAAAATCCTTAAGTGACGCACTGATTAATCACGATCCTGCTCACACCACTCAACGTAGGAAGCTCAGTTTTGGCATACAGGTTGATTCTAGGGTGCAGAGCTTCGATAAGAAGGTATTCTTCGTAATTCCAGTCCTCAGGGGGTGAAACCACCCCTCAAATATTACAATATTTTTTATTTAAAAAACGGTCAAGTTTCCGAAAACACGATTAAACAGGTATATTTTATCTTGTTTTTTAACATATTTTAAGATTTTTTAAAAATGTATACAGGGTGTTTCGAAAAATCTAGTCATTGATTAATCACGTTGTTAATCATCCTGCTTAAAGCGCTTGACGTATAAAGCTGATTTTTGGCAAACGGATTGATTATGGGGTGTAGAGGTTCGATAAGGAGGGGTTTCTCGAATCTCAAATTCCAAGTGGTTGAAAACACCCGTCAAATATCACAATATTTTGTATTTAAAAAACGGTTAGTCTTTCTACGCTTGGACACGCATAATTTATTTTGTTTTTTTACATATTTTGAATTTTTTTAAAAAATCATACAGGGTGTTCCAAAAAGTTGGGTAATTGATTAACCAGGATTCTGCTTAAAAAGCTTATTTTTGGCTAACGAATTTTTCGAAAGTCAAATTCCAACGAGATGAAACTACCCCTCAAATATTACCAAGTTATATAATAATATCGCCATATTGTTTTTTCTCATGCTGACATAAATGTGAGAAAATTTTATCCAGTTTGTATGTTAATGGAAATTCTTGTTTTGCTTTATCATCACCATTACAAATGATTAATTCGACGCGAACGAAGTCGCGGGTACACGCTAGTAATAAATATATGTACTATAATATAAATATTAAAGAACTGTATATAAAAGTAATAAAAAATATACAGAAGTGGAAGAGCTCAGACTAAATAAACCAGCCACTCCGAAAAATTTGGTAAATGTTTTAACTTTTCTGCAAAGTGGTACGGTTTACACAAATACTGTTATTCTCCTCTATAACAGTGATAATGAGTAATTAATTACTGGTACAGTTCATAGTGTATTGAAGATGTTTAATATTAAGGACTGTGGCCTCTTTTATCCTTAGCTAGATACGCCAATGGTACTATCAGACTCTAGAGAAAATATCAACGCCTCCGTTTGCCAATCTCGTACTTATTTAATACCGTCGTACCCCAGCTTTTTTTATCAATGGTACCGATAAAATCACGAGTACAAACGTCCCCGTAAGTTCATATATTTTATCTTATCTCGCCTCAATTCCATGTTCAGCAGAAGATATCGTTTTATATCTTTACTTTATATTATAACACCGGCACCAACATTATTTATTATATTTTATATTGACTATCAGTTGAAAGTTCTCTACTTATTGTCGTTCTGTTTATTTAAGATATTTGTAGACATTATTTGACATAAAATTTTACGCGAAATGGACGTTTTTTATTATCCGTCTGTCAAATAAAGAGAGTAAATCTCATAAAGATAATAGTAGTAGTAGCAAAATAATAAGAACAAAGTAGCAACTATTTTTTTTTTTTGAAAATTATTCTACTAATTATATTATATCTATAACCATTCCGTCTTTTTATAGTAGGTATAGGTATATAATTCGGCATTATTATTTATGAAAACCTTAAAGCATCAATAATCTTACGAAAACACAAATTGAAATTGAATCATCAACTAGCAAACCTACCTATGAATATGCACATTGGAATGTTGCCTTGTGCAAAACATACAACATATCTCAAATTTAACCGCGACATTACGGTCACTTGTCACAATTTGGGGATTAAAATGAAAGAAAATTGGGTAAACAACCTAAATTTATTATTATATAAATTTATAGTTCACTTGTTACCAGTTAGTAAGATCTAAGATGACACAAAGAAAAAACCATGCAAAATGTTGGCAAGCAACATTAAACTGCATTAGAAAGTCACCTTAAATTATCTAAAGTTTTATGCTATCCAAAGTAGATAATAAGTTTCTTCGCCTTTATATTTGTATTCTAAAGCCTCAAAATAACTATCAGCAAATACCTACAGTCCTACAGAAAATTGCATATATTTTCTACTTACCTGATAGTGATGGCAACCAGAATAATCATCACACCAACAAGGAGCATGGCAACGCATACTCCACTGATCATGTACAAGCTTTCATTTGGTCCATCTGAAAAAAAAAGAAAAACTATAAAACTCTGTTTACCGAAAAGTTAAAAATGCTATAAAGTTGTATTTATTATGTTTTTTTTAATGAAAGATATATATTGGAGGAATCCACTTGAAATGGTGAAGAAAAACACATCTAATTTTGAATCCGTCTGTATATACAATCATTATGTAATTAGTATATAAAGAACCAACTTAAGTAAAGATGTATTAAAATATGTGTTTTGGAAGATCTATGCTATTAATTTTTTTATTTATATTAATATTTGATTAAACTGGTGAAAACCTGAAATACAAACCCGATATGTATATAGAAAGCCCATTTTTATCTACTAACCAACACTCATTGGTCTTAATATAGATTAAAAATACCTCTATTTGCATATTAAAAATACCTCTAATAGGTATTTTTAATTCGTCTTTCTATATTTGTCACAAAAATGCGTAATTTATCGTTAATACAATCACGTAGGTGTTGAATACATAATGATGGATTTTCCAAGGTATTTTCGGTTGAACAGAAAAAAAAGAAAGATTATAAGAGTTTATTGATCAACGTTGGATTATAATTAGATTAGTTATATATTTAGAAAATTATTTTTTTATATGATCGATTTGCGTCAAACTATCTATTGTATGAATATATTCCATTATAGAGATTTCTCAACCTTTTCAATAACATATTCTTTATTCTTATGAGTTATTTATAAACAAGCCACTATTTAAAATTTTGAAAATAAAATAATTCTACAAAAATAGAAAATAACAAAGAAACTAATTACGACACAAAATCATCGATATGATAAACTCGTGATTTTGAAGAAACTAAAAAATCTTTGTCAATGATGTTTCAATGGAGTCAATGAAATGTGTGAAAAACATAACCTTAAATACTCATAATCGAAACAGTTTTCAAGCCGATATATAAGATGAAGGTCGCTTTTTTGGAGAATTTAAAAATAAAGGTGCTAACTTGCGAATAACCGAGGCCAGTAAGTAATCGGTTTATAGACCTTCGCTAGGTTTGCATCTGTGGTAATTCGCCAAAAAAACTGTTGAGCTTGTCCAAATACAAATAAAAATATTTCCTGAAACTAAATAAATAAATTCGAATTTATCTAACCTTACCATGAGAATTTGTACAGAATGATCTAGCGTTTCGAAAAAGCTCTGTATCCAAGATACTTCAAAATTAATAATTGCAGACTATCTTGGTCAAGTCAAGGCTCAGTGGACAGAGATTACAGAAAATACAATTGGGAGATAAACTTAAAATAAGCTGTTTTAATGCTGAAAACCCAAACCAAACATATAGTATACCAGCGTGTACCCGCAACTTCGTTCGGGTCGAATTAATCATTTGTAATGGTGATGATAAAGCAAAGCAAGAATTTGCATTAACATACAAGCTGGATAAAATTTTCTCACATTTATGTCAGCATGAGAAAAAATGATATAACGATATTATTATATAACTTGGTTTCAAAATATGTAATAGAAAACAAAATAAAGTAAGTATGCGTGTCCAAGCGTTTTTGCCGAAAGACTAACCGTTTTCTAAAGAACAAATATTGTAATATTTGAGGGGCGTTTTCACCCTCTTGGAATTTGAGATTACACCCCTACACCCTACAGTTCAATCCGTTTACCAAAAATAAGCTTTAAACGTCAAGCAGTTTAAGCAAAATCGTGATTACTCAATGATCATATTTTATGAAACACCCTATATAAATTTTTAAAAAATCTTAAAATATGAAAAACAACAAAATAAAATATACATGTTTAAAATAATTTTCAAATAAAAAATATTCTAATATTTGAGAGGTGGTTTCACTTTTTATTGTTAATCTAAGGGTTTCACCCCCTTAGAATTCGAGTTTCGAAAAATCCCTTCTTATCGAACCTCTACACCCTGAAGTAAATCTGTTTTCCAAAAATCAGCTTTTTACGTCAAGCGCTTTAAGCAGGATCGTGATTAATCAATGATCAGATTTTTCGAAACACCTTGTATGCATTTTTAAAAATTTTAAAATATGTAAAAAGACAAAATAAAATATAAATTTTTTAAATAAAAAATATTGTAATATTTGAGGGGTAGTTTCACCCCCTTGGAACTGGAATTTCGAAAAATCCATTCTTATCGAACCTCTACACCCTAGAATCAACCTGTATGCCAAAATTGAGCTTCTTACGTTGAGTGGTTTGAGCAGGATCGTGATTAATCAGTGAGTCAGTCACTTAAGGATTTTATATATTAGTATATAGATTGTTTTATTAGGAGTAAAAATTACACTTCCCCTCGCGATGCTATAAAAAAGCAGTTTTCTTTTTTAAAATGTTCTGTGCGGCAACAATGGAAATTTTCCAACTAGATAAATATTACAACGTTGCTTGAATTAATGGATGACGAGCATGTAAAAGCAAAAGGGAAATAAGCAGGGAAAGTATAGGTCAATGTCAATAAGTTTTCTATCGCTGGGCCTGATAATCAATCTCCCATTTATATTTAATGGGATTACGTGTGTACAATATCGATAAAACATTAACCATGAACTTTTTTCTGTTTTAAATAACAATTATTTTATTTTTTACAAAAATTTCCACCTTAGTGTGTACTTTTTTTTATTGAAATGTTCTTTATTACGATTTTTTGCAACTCAAAAAAAAAAAAGAGAGCCAATCTCATATTCCATAGAGCTTTAAGAGCATTGAAAGATTGGTTAAGAAAAGGCTTCTATCTTTTCTCCTTAAATATAAAGTACTTTCTACCCATCAATTTGGATTTCTAAGTAACAGTTGCACAAATGATGCTATGTTCGACCTTTTTAATAATGTATACTCTAGCCTGAATAACCATCACTATACAGCTACAATTTTCTGTGATTTCTCTAAGGCTTTCGACTGTGTAAATCATAATATCTCAATTAACAAATTGCAATACTATGGATTCAGGCTTAAGTCGTATCTTGGCAACAGAAGGCAGCTTGTGAGGATTGATACGTCTATGTCTTCTTGTAAGCCTATAGAATGTGGTGTCCCTCAGGGTTCAGTACTTGGCACTATTTTATTTCTGGTGTTTATCAACGACATTGCAAATCTAGATATTAACGGTAAAATCTGCCTCTTTGCGGACGATACTAGTTTCACTTGGAGCGGCCCAGATGTTACGGCACTATATGATACTATATCCAGTGACTTACGCACCATTAAATCTTGGTGCGATTCTAATCTCCTATGCATCAACCTTTCAAAAACTAAAGTTTTGTCATATAAAAGTACTATACAACCTTTTGTACTTAATAACACCACTATTGACGTCGTGGACTCTGTGAGATTCTTAGGACTTGTTGTGGACAACTCTTTAAAATGGGACTTGCACATCGAAGCCTTATCAAAGAAACTAAGCTCTGCCTGTTTTGCGCTAAGATCAGTGTCTAAGGAACTTAACTCATCAACCTCTAGAATGGTCTATTATGCCCTTTTTGAGTCGCATCTTCGTTATGCCCTTCCATTCTGGGGTACTTGCTGCGCGACAAAATTTGATCGTATTTTCAAACTTCAAAAGAGAGCAGTTCGATACTTATTGGGACTAAACAGTAGAACTCACTGCCAGAATTTCTTTAAAAATTTCAAAATACTGACTCTTCCTTCCTTATTCATTTTTGAATCCGTTTGCTTAATCCGCAAGCACATATTCTCTATTCCGGAAAGGCCTTCTCACAACTATCCACTTAGGAATGCGGAGCACGATATTTATCTGCCAACCCCGAGCTCAGAACTAGTTAAGGGCTCAATACTGTACAATGCCAAGAAAATGTACAATCATTTGCCTTCGAATATCAAGTCACTTTCATTCTTTCCCGCATTTCGCAAAGCTCTGAAATCATACTTACTGGAGAGAGCCCTATATGCGGTAAACGACTTTTTTGTTGATGTTTAATCATGAACAATTTAGAATTTTAATTTTAATATTTTGATCATCTCACACACTGGTTAAAGGTCTAGTATTTAATATTTTATAACTCTTGATTTTATGTTATTATAACATGATTTTATCCATTTACAGTTTTCCTTTTGTAAAATATTGTAGATACGCCTGTGTTTTGCAATGTCCATATATTTTTTATTTGTAATTTTATGACGTAATTTTTTTTTTGAATTGATTTGTATTGTATGACATTTTTTTTATTATTTGTATATTTGTTTTTGTGCTTTTTTTTGTTTTGCTTTGTCGATGAAGCTGTTTTGGATTTTTGTACAATAAAGCGTTGTTTTTTTTTAAGAATCTATTACGCCGTACTTGATGGGCGCTCTCAGGGGTCGGGTAAAGCGGGTGTGTGGCCGAAGGAAATATATATTATATTTCAGAAATCTGCCTAAGCCCACGGCCACACAGAAAGCGTTTTTAGTGTTTTGCGTTTTTTGCGTCTCAAGCTCTTTTTGCGATTTTACCGTTTTAAGCACTTTTTTCGATTTGTGTCCATTAAAAACACGCAAAAGACGCGGCAGGTCTGCAGTTTCTATCACGATGTCAATTAGTAACGTCCCAAGCTCGTGGATTCCCGGCCCGTCCAACAATCAATCCTGTGAGAAAGAGATAGGCGAGATCGGCACCGTTAGCGTTGAAGAGACGAAGATAAAAGATGCTGGGATTGAATTGTGGACGGACCGGGACATATATATTCGGAGACAAACACAATTTACTGCTAGTGCCAATGGTGTGAGTAAAAATAATAATTATTATTATTTGCCATTTATTTTACGAATTTTAGTTTATATGTGTATAGTTTTTTTTATGTTGTAGTGTTGTAGTTAGTACTTGTTATAATTATAATATAATATATTTATATTATATAATTATAATTATATAATAGAATAGTAAATATTTCTAGTTGCTAATGCAATTTTAGGACATGATTTATGAAACATTTTGGAGTGAAACTTCTTTACGCGCGCTGGGGGTAAAAATTCAAGGCCGTGACATACGAGCTAGTGAGACGG